TATGATATAGGCTTCTGGCTATTGATTTATCAGATAAGCAATTTCTTAGTTCAATTTTAGTGAAAATAATATTTTTCCCTCTCCCCTTAGTCACACATAAAGGAATGTTTACTTTTAATTTAAAATTGTAATTTTTAAACTAATGTATATATTAATGTACTTAATTTCATGTTTTGATGAGTAATATATAAATTTTATGTTTTAAATTATAATGTATTTTCCTCCACTTGTATTTTAATCTGTAATGTGTAAAAATGTAATACATTACATTAAATGCATTAAAGAATATGTAGTATATATTCAAATTATGCACATCCTAAATTTAACATTGATATTAAATTTCTTTGAGCTAAAAATTTATTTAAGTTTTAACTGTACTGATATGAATGTCAATTTCCAACAGTTTTTAGAATTTCCTGTATAATTAAAGTTAAATTAAATTTTCGTAAATATATTAATGCATATATATAATTATCAGGTTTTTTAAGGTGATCTGCTTTTAGATATTACAACAGTTTTGTGTATTTTGTATTCAGATTAAAAAAGTGTTTGGTTTTATGTGATTACGGCAAAGCTTCGAGGGCTATCTGCTTAAGGTGAGAATTGCTTTTCAAGAGGATTTTCTAAAAGAAACTATCTCGTATACACGTTACACATAGGGAAAACATGAAAACGCCCATGCAGCCAGCCCATTCAGACCGAATAGCAAAGATCAAGAAATACATCTGATAAACAAGTCCTCAACACACTCCATTACATTTTCCAGTCTCTAACCAATAAGACCCAACTGGACAAATTGCAATATTAAATACCTTACTTATGATGAATGTTCCAACAGGCGAGTTAAGGAAAAAAAACTCTTAAAAAGCCCTACCAAGATCCACTACACTGAAATTGCGAAGACAAAACTTTTAGCTAGTCATCTGATAGTTCCGCATAAAAAAAATCATGCAACATAATCAAACAGAATGTCATGATTCAGATACTGTTGGAAACTACATCTTCACATTTTTGCATAACCTTATAGTTTTAATTCTATTTTACTTATGTTTTAGTGGCAACAAATCGAACATTTTATTTCAATTAGTTCAAAGAATTTTAGAATGACTTTGTTTTTGGTTTAGAGCTGTGTGATTAACATTTGCCAATAACAAAGAGTTTTATAGTAACAGGGGCTATTTATTAATGGGGATTTCAAGTACAATGAGGCTGTGATCGGAAGAGAGCGGGATTGCAGAAATATTGCATCTGTTTGTAATGTTATTTGATATGAAAATGTCAATTGTGGTGGCGCTATTGTACCTGTAACAGGTGGGCTCATCTGGAGTATGAATGTTTTAATTATTTGATTGAATGAGGTTAAATAGGTCCTTTCCTGTTTGCAGGTCCCAGCTTCCAGCAGGGGTGCTTGGTGTTAAAGTTCCCTCCGACAATAGTAGCATTGGAATTTAGGAGGTGAAGCAGTTCATTTGAGCTGGGATTATTTAGTGGGATGTATACATTAGATATTTTGAATTTTTTGTACTCTATATAGTAATTTCTATTGTGTCATTTTTGAAAGTGGTGCTGGGATTTGTTATTCGAGAAAGTTTTATACTCCTTTTAACAAATGTGATGTCGCCGCCTCTTCCATCCCCGATCCGTACAGTAGGTATTATAATTAGCATTTAGTAATTTGAAAGTTGGTCTAAGGTGAGTCTCTTGTATGAGTATTACATTAGGTTTAATTTCTATCGAGGTTGGAGAATTAATTTTTTTTTTATTGAAAAACCATTAGTTATATTGCAGCTGTTGCTGAAATCATTGGAAGAGTCGATTTCCTATTTTTCGACTACTGCGATTATTTTGTAAAGAGGTGATTTCTTGTTTTTAAGACCTTGTATCAGTATTTTTTAAGACCTTGTATGAGGAAAAAAATATGTAAAAATTTCTTTTATTCTATAATCTGAAGTAGCTTTTAGGATTACCAAATACTTACATATATCAGAATTAGGTGGTGTTTTTCGACAATGTACTGGCAGGTACCGATTAACAGACAAGTACAAAACTTATCTTGATAAATACCAATAGCTGCTGATGAGTCATACTAGTAAAAATGTTTAATTAGTTCACAATTTAAAAACTTTATATAAAATCTTCAATTTTTAGACTTAAACACATTGATTGTATGCTTCAATAAATTTGGGTAAACATACTACAGGGTTCATAGCCACATTTTAGTTAAAAAAATAAGCACCTATAAGCACTTTTCAAGCACATTTTAAGAGAAAAAATAAGCACCTGTCTAATTACATCATACACAAATGCATAACCTTTAAAATTAGACTTGTAATTTAAAATAAGAGAAATGAAGTACTTATTAATGAAGAAGAGAGAATAAGGATTACCTCAACCATGGAAAATAATTACTTTTTTGTTTTTACTTTTAAATAATAGTTCAATTTACAGATCTAGTTTACAATGAGAGAAAAAAAAACTATGAAGAACTAAACTATATTACAAGATTTAATGATGAAATTTCAGTTCAAAATAGAGAAAATAAATAATAATAAGGCATATTTATCATATTCGTTTGGAACCCAATAATAAATACAATTTATTTTTTCACTCATATTGATATTTAAATCTAAATTCTGAACATTTTCTAAATTTTCATTGTACATCAGTTTTCTCTTAACAGATATTGCAAGCAAAGTAATTTAAGTAAAAAACAGGAACACTTCTGAAATCAGAAGACAGAAATTTGCTTCATGCAGTCAACTTTAAGAATAAAAGCTTAACTAACCTGCATACTTGGAAATTGGTGAATATTTGAATATAGTCGAGTGTAACTTGAAGGAGTGGAGGGGGGTAGACTGTAGTCGCTCTTTAGATTTTTCCCCAAAATAAATTCTTTTGACATTTCAATATGTGCATCATATAAAAATAAACCAACGGAACTGAAAAATATTCTGCTTAGCAAACACAGTAAAACTCTTTTGAGTGTTCATAAACAAATATCAGACTGAACATTAAATTATCTCTGTAAAATATAGCAAAAGTTAATGCGCAACACGTGCGCCGTAATTCTTCCCTACGTTATATTTCGCAATCAGAATTAACAACTGCCGGTAGTGGGAGAATAAAGAACTAAATAACTGGGGTGTTTTTCATTCTAATTTTCAACAGACGGCTTTAAATTCCCGGAATAGAATCATTCTTCGCTTGGGTTGGTAGACCGCAGAACTTTTAGTCCTATTCAATCCAGATTGATTAAAAAGTGACCAAAAAAGTCCTTTGCTTCTTTTGCAGTGACTGTATCAGTTTCAATATTCAACATTTTGCGGAGAAAGGGGAGACCTCCCAACCTTCGTACTGTAGAATGTATTGGCCAAAAAATGAAATTATTTTGACTATTCGATTACTTTCCCTTTATTTAAGACATTCCGAATATTATTCCTTAGAAAGCTAATCTGTGTTAAAACACAACCATTTTTGGAAGTTTACTATACTTTCGCAGTTACTGCAACTATGTTATAAACATTCATACATACGCTCATAACGATGATAATAAACACGAATATGAACTGACCAAGCAGAACAAGAATGCAAATTTTTTTGATCTTGATAGAAATTCAAACGTGTGTATTATTTGGGTGGGAGGAAAAGAATGCCGAATGCAGCGGAATTTTCTACTGCTTTCGCAGTTCTTTGACCAATAGAACGACGGGCACCTGTCTGTACTCTTCGTGCACACTAAAGGTTATGTTAATGCAGAGAAAGGAAAAGCTATTTCCGGGAATATGACTCACCATCTGACATTCCATATTAGAAAGAAAATTTGTATATTTAGTTTCGGCTTTGGTACGGGAAAAATAGCGCATTCATTAAAAAAACACTAAAAGCAAAAAAATAAGCACTAAAAACAAGAAATTAAGGGCTTTAAAGAAAAAGTAAGCACTTATAAGGGCCTTTATATTTTAGTTTTAAATATAAGGACTTATAAGGACCGCTATGAACCCTGGATTCTCATGTCATTCTACGGCACAAGGATGTGTTAATACGTGTAATCTTAATTTACCAGAATGCACTATTGCTTTATATGAATGATAGAATATTTGTTAAATTCAAATCTCATTCTTTGCAGCAATTGTGCAACAGAATTTAACTTTACTTTTTATTCTATATTAAGACACACTGACCAGATAGCTGCTCATTGCTTCTGTATATAGTGCCAGTCTCTTTACCTGACTTTTATTCTCAGAACCGTTGGTCATTTTGGTATGTTAATAACACTTAAAATGGAAAGTTAATCATAAAGACACAAATTTTACCTGAAATCATTTTACTGTGGAAAGATATGCTATAACTATCCTAGCATAATATAGACCAGTATGAAATTTACATAATAAATATGCTGACAGCAGTATGGCAAAGGTGAATTTAATTACTTAAAAAAGGCAAGAGATCAGGTAGTTTAGGTTTGATTTGATATTGCTGCTATGAATATCCTGATAAAATTTACCTTTGGGAACAAATTACATTTTGCCTATTTCTTTTTGAAGAAAGCATACTTTATTGTTCAAATAACTTAAAAGCTCGTGGTTTGAAATTTTGTTAACGTGAAGCAATTTTTGTAAAAATCTGAAAAGACATTTGTAATAAATTATTGGAAATTGCTGAAAACAAAATAACTACAAACTAATTTAAAAACTGCCAAATAAATGTTAATGCCTACCAATATTTGACAATGCTTGAGAGACATCAAATTTTTATCCAGATAGCCTGGCAATAAAAATCCTACATTTAAATGTTCTCTTGATAACTGAGTATATCTGTCCCATTTTTGGAGAAAAATAGAAAAATGGGGCATTTAAGTTCAAAATATCTTCCTTGGGTGCACAATTTTATAAAATAGGATATTAGAGCATCTACAAAATAATCGAATGTTTATTACTTCCCATTTTTAGATTCCATAAAATCTCGTAACTATAGCATGTGATAAAAAATTATATAAACCATATTATTCAAGTACTTTATTTTAGAAAATGTTATAACCAAAATCACATCTTGCAAAAGTGAAATTCAAAAGCATTTGAAAACTAAGATAACTGTCCACTATTGGCAATCGATATCTTCCTGCTCGTCTGTCCACTCTGGCTACCATAGCTCTCAATTTTCTTAACAACATCCATACCCTCAATTACTTGACCAAATACAACATGTTTTCCATCCAACCTGTGAAAAGATATTTCAAATTAATAATAAAGGCAGTTTTAAAATCAAAATTACACCGTAAACTGAAAACCATTTACCATGATGTTTTTGCAGTACAAACAAAGAACTGGGATCCATTAGTATTTGGTCCTGCATTAGCCATAGACAGAATACCTATGTAAAATTACATAAACATTAACACACAGAAATTAATATCCAAATACATAAGCAAGCTATTAACACACTGATTTAACTTTGTCTAGTCTAATAAATGACAAACTGTAATTCTGTAAAATATCTAATACAAAAATGAATTGCATAAGCATTCAAAATAATAAATATGGTTTTAATTAAAAACATAAAGACATTAAAGTTCAATGTATATTTATATCGTTAAGTTCCTGCAGAGAATGACCATTATTTTGGATTCTATCAGATTTCGAACTTCCCTGCAAACACTCCGACTGCCAAAAAGTTTCCTCCCCAGCTTAGTTGTTTCCTCTAAAAATGCTAAACATGTTTACACTAATTTTAAAATTGCTCGAAAATGTTTAAGACATGTATACACAAAGCATAATTTGGCCACAAATGCTTAAGACGTGTTCTTCCCCCTACTTTCTGCATGCAGCTTTTAATGGGGTGTGTCAAACAGCAGGAATGTTAGATCTTTTTGGTGACTAAAAGTTTGTGAAAGAAGAACCATTTTACAGCAGTTTGCTTTGCAGTACCTTATACAAATGAAAGTTCAAATTGCCCATTATTATAGTACATTACCGAATTTTAGAAGAAAAATAAGAATTGTAATAGAAGATGCACATTTTAATAAATCAAACGTTATACAACCAAATATTTTATTTTTGTATTAAAAGTTGATTACAGTTTGATTAGCCAGGAAAAATTAAAGTGGTAAATGTCAAACCATAAGATACGACCAGACATTTCCAGTGAAATGTTAAAAAAATTCATCTGTATGGAATTAATGTATCGAGTCAGTTCATAGGTTCGTGTGCATTAAGAGTATGCATGGAATTCACTATGATGCATTAACTAAAATACAATTTTGAACCTGTTGAAACTTGTTATCGTTTGACTAACATATTATTGAATTCATCACCAACTTTTGTAAATATCGAACGCATTTTAGTACCCATAAAAGATGAATAGATTATCAGTACAAACGTGCTGTGCTACATTTTTTATTTTCGTGTGGTGAATCTGCCAGGTTTGCAGCGATGAAAATTAATAGTGTACATGGTGTACACGCCATAAGCATAAGGACTGCCCAGAAATAGTTTAAAAAATGTAAAGTTTTAAAAAGCAGCATTGATGGTGAACCCTGTTCAGGACATTTTGAACTGTTAGAACCAAATCAAACGATTAAGTAAGAAGTTTATAGTGAACAACTTTGCTGTCTAAACTCAGAATTGATCAAAAAAAACGCCCACGATTGGTGAATATCAAGAAAAAGTTGTTTCATTGTGATAACGTTAGACCACATACAGCTTGAACAACACTGCAAAAAATTAGTATATTTAATTGGGAGCTTTTGCCACATCCTGCTTACTCCCCAGATATTGCCCAAGTAATTCACTAATCTCATGCCTTACAAAATTTTTTACAGGGAAAAAATTAAATTCTAAACAGGATGTACACAATGAAGTTTTTTGCATCAAAAAGTCTTTCTACAGCAAAGGCATAAAAATGCTACCTGTAAAATGGCAAGACATTGTAAATAATGGAGGAAAATATATAATTGATTAAAACATTAAACTGGTTTTTTATATTATTTAAAAATTTACCAAAAAATGTGCATGAATTTATGGACTGACCCAATATATTCTGTTCAGTATTTAAATTGATCACTGTCACTGCACATCAGTTTATCAGTGTACTTGTGAGTGATATCGAGATTTACCTGTTAGCCCCAAGTTACTTCTTTTGAACATAACATGTATTAAGTAGAGATACATAAAAATCATGATAAATCAGGAGACTTGGCAACTCTGAAACGGATTTAAATTCTAAACAGTAAAATAACACCTATCAACAAAAACCAGTTTAAAATATTTTATGTAAATCTTAAGATTTTTACTTGCACAAAAATTTGTATGAAATAGCAATTTTTTTAATATTCTAATTTAGATGTGCTCCAATTTTAAAACAAAAACACCTTAGAATAATGTAATGAGCAATTTCAAAATATTTTTATAATATAAAACTAAAAATTCTTAACTGTACACATACCTGGTCCAGTATGTTTCAAAATAAAATTTTCATCTTCAAACTTTGTACCATAAATAGACTTTCCTCCAGTGCCATTATGCTTTGTGAAATCTCCACCTTGGCACATAAAGCCAGGAATTACTCTATGGAAGATGCTGCCTTTATAGCCATAACCTTTTTCTCCAGTACACAAAGCTCTGAAGTTTTCTGTAAAAACAATTCAACATGGATTTAAAAATTTTTTAAAAACTGAAGTTGAAGGAAAATTTTTATAATTTGATAGAGGATAAAAAACTTTGTTTATCCATATTATGAGTTTCAACATTTAGTAAATTTGCAGTTTTGTATATACACATGACAACAGCTAAACTTTCTCATGCCCACATTACACATGAGAATACAGTTCCCACCTAGGAATAACAATATAAATGCTGGCCAAATAAAATTTGTTACAAAAAAAGGTTTTAGTATTATTTTTTAACATATACATAAACAAATGTCTTTCCCAACTCAAAAAGCCACCAGAAAGCGGCGAAAGTTTGTAAAGTTTTGGATATTCAAAACATACCCAAAAATTTTTCTTGGACACATTTTAAAAAGTACAGAATTTTCTCACAAATACTCAAATCATTACATTTTTAAAGAATACCATCGCACTACGCATTTGTTAAGAATTCATATATAAAAGATTTATACACACATCCCATAAAAAATGAACTAATAAATTTTCACCACAGAAACGTGGAAGCAGTTACCTTAAACGTTTTCTTTACAGCCCTAGTCATGGTAATTATGCAGTGCTTTACTCTTCCTTTTAATGCTACTTGGAACTTCACTTTTCACTCTCCTACATCTCCCCAACAGATAACTATTTTCTGACGATTTAGCTTTTGCAAAGGAAAGTGAGAGTGATGCATTAATTTATCAGCAATAGAGAATATATATTTTACAAAGACTCCGAATCTTGCATGTGGTAACAAATGCACAGACCAGTTGGAGAACCTGACCCATGAGGGCTTAAATAACTCGCACGTTAGATTTTTAAAAAATTCATTTTCAAGTAGATGTTGGGCAACTGATTTGCTATTGTGCATCACTCATTACTCAAGCTGCACATCTCGTCTCCTCTGATGATTCGCTACAGATCACGTGCCTATAACTTTAAATGCACAAGTACCTGAAATGTTGTCCGATGTGGCACATCTAAACATTCACACAAATAAAATGCTACAAAATCGCAGATTGGAATGATAACAGAAGATTTTTAAGAGGGCACAATTATTTCTTATAGACTATTTCTTAAACATTTAATGTATAGATTTTTTAACACTTTTAAATAAAAAACTAGCTACATTTGCAATTAAAACATCTTTTGAACAGTGTCTTTTCATGGTGAGTAAATGGTATTTGTTGAGAACCGAGACAAATAGCTCATTTTGCAGCATCATCATACTATACAATATTCCCATATACTGAACATCTACCTGTAATAGTTTCATCCATGAAATTTTAACAGGATTAAGGGGACTTGGTACCTTCAAATGCATGAAATTACTGACTTTTTAATTTTTTTGCTAGAAAAATACCTTAATACTCTTAGCACACTGAAGAGAAATTTTGAAATCTGACCGATAATAAATGGTATAAAAAGGTTTTTAAAGACTAACAGCCCTTTAAATGCCATACCTCCCGTTTTTTTAATTCTTTGAACAACTTATTAAAATTAAGTATAAATGAAAGAGGAACTAAATATGACTGCAACTATAAGCAAACTGTTTATGTGTATGAAATATTTTAAATACAAATTAAAGTTGTGTGTATATATATATATATATATATTGAGCTCAGCAAATATTTCTATGCATTATCAGACAACCCAACTCGTGATAAGACAGGAACAAAAAGAGGGAGTAATGAGTCATTAAGTTTCCGACTGTAGCATTATTGATAGTGCTAGAACAACATTTAACTCTTTATTAAAGTACATCTAAATTAACTGAAAATGCAATTTATATATCAGAATAAATGTTTAAAAGAAAAATCACATATGCTACCGAGTAGCTTCAAATAAAATGTTTTATGTCTGTTGAAATTTATAATTTTTGCTTTTTTGAAAAAATGAATAAAACAAATTAAAATTGATCTTAAGTGTTCTAGAAAAAAAATTATGTATAAAAATTGTTTTGAACATGCTTTAAAAAAACAGGCAAAGAAAAATTCTACTTGCATTTTAGGATTTTTTGACAATATTTCTAACCAAATAAGGTTTTAAGCAAAAGCTTATCTGCAGCCAGTATGGCAAGAAAAAACACTAGATTTATTCAGCAGATTATGCAAAATATTTAACATTCTTTAACCCTTTGCGACACGCATATTTAAAATATATTTTAATCTTTAAAAAAATGCCTAAGAATAAGTCAAATGGACTTAAGTGCCTTTAAGGCTTGAAAAAAATTCTGCGCTTTTATTTTTTACGGTTGAAGGTGGGATACCGCATGTCCCACCATGCAACTAGCACGTCTTATAGCATATTGGTGTATAGCAGGGAAAAAAATCATGTGGAATGAATAAAAAAATAAAGCGTGCATTCTAAAATATTCATAATAAACACACTAAAATGCATTTTGTACTTATTGCATATATGCATGACTTGTAAAATTTTGCATATAATATATATTTAATATTTTTAAACTTTAGGAACAAAAGAAAATGTTTTCTTGAATATTATTTTAAGATTAAAATTTGATACTTGTACATATGATACTAAATAAAATATTAAAATTGGCCCTTGATTCAAAAATGATATATGATTAAATTGAAAAAAAGTAATTTTTCATGAAACTTTGAAAAACATGGTTTCATTCTTTTGTAAGCATAAAGGCACTTCACATGTTTCACACATCCAAAATGTTCGCTGTTCTTCTTTCGATATGCTGCAATATGCACATCTTCTCCTGCTCGTTCTCTTTGGTGTTTTACTTACATTTTTTAGTCTCTTTTCTGGTTGTACGAATGGGTTTTTATTTGAACCAGGGATTTCAGTTTTCTTTTCAGGTCTTTCTTGCCTGCAAGCGCCATTAGACCTTCTATAACTGAGAGAAGAAAATCTTTCATTGTTTTTACATCATGATCAGGTTCGCGAACAAACTTGAATAAATGTGTTTACTATACTCGCATCTAAAAAGTAAAAAAAAAAAAAACGTGCCACCATTTTTGCTTTGCGGTCATTTCATGTAGTCTTTCAGTTGATCAATCAGTCGACATATCTTCATATTCTTATGTATGAAATAATGCTGTTTGGGCACAGTACTTTTTTTTCTTTCCATCTCATTCTTTTCTATTAATTTCTTTCACTTCAGTTGCCTTTTCCAAGTAAGACAGGATAGAAACGGATCTTTTATCCTTCCATTTTATGCAATAAATTGAATCATCGCTAACTGAAAAGTTTATATATTCTCTTGACATAAATTTGTCTTTTAAATTTTTGGGTAGATACTTCCGATCCACATGCATAGATGGGTCTGTGTCTTTAAAAGCAAAACAAATTATACACTTCCCTTTCTTCTTCAGCATAACTTCAACCTCAGTTATTTTCTCTCTGGATTTCAATTCATCTGAATCAGAACTGACATCTGAAGCATTTGAGTCGCAATCGGATGGCAATTCAGCAAAAAGACAAAGCTTCCTGAGTTAATTTTTTTCTAGACATTTTAGCACATCAGAGAATACAACAGATGTAAAAGCGCACGCAATACGAAAAAGTAGATGCAAAAAAGAAAAAATAATCGTGATTTGCGCCTGCCATCTATTGAGCGAAGAAAGATTCAAGTGTGTGGTGGGACAAATTTTACCCACTTATTTCAACTGCAAAATTAATGCTATAAAATATTGAATCCAATTAAGATTTTTGAAAATAAACTACCTTTATTAAAAGAATCAACTATCATAAATTGTATACCAAAATTTTTAAAATATGGAAAAATGCGAGATATGGATATCACTCGTGATCCTATTTTGAATATTTTTTGCTTATAAACTTAAGCCCTGGTATAATAGTAACATCTACTGAGAAAAATAACTAAAATAGATTATTTTTAAAAGATTAGAAAATTTCTAATGGAAATTGCTAACTGAGAAAATAAATATTAATTAGGTGGGACATATGTTGACCCACCATGCTGCAAAGGGTTAACTGAATTTCTCACCAAGAAATCTTATGCATGAAAGCAAGTTTTAAAAACTTTTTTTAGCATAATGCCAGTTTTAATAAGGGTCAATTTTATAAAAGCAAGAAGTCTTAATAAAAGGGGATTTGTACATTTTTTGGTTGAAAATAAGTGTCAATATAAATATATTTCATTGTTCAAGTCCTGTAATTGCTGTATTGAGAATAAAGACTACATTGTCAATCGAAATTCTTTCGTTTTCAGCAACTTCTGTTACTTTTTTCACTATCGGAGGCACGCATGTGTAAGTTTGTGGCTTTGAGGTCCAGATTATAGTTCATTACGGACTTTGTACTATATTACATTTTCATTGTTCTTCCAGATGTTCTCCAAAAAGTAAGAAATTCATCACAAACTTTCTGTAAAATACACCCAATACATCTTAAAGCTAGGAACATTTTTCAGGAAACTTCTAGAATCACGGGATCTATAAATCTTGCCTTTAAATCCTAAAGAAAACTTACCCCTATCAATTTTGAAACAAAAAAAAAAGAGATAGAGAGAGAGAGGGAAAAGATGTAAAATTAATTTTATAGAGAAAATCTATGACCACTCTGTGAATTCTGAAACAATTATACGTGGGGAAAACTCTCACCATGAAAAAATTAAAAAGAAGTTTTTAAATAATTACACAACTATTTTGCCAAGATTTTTTGTAAACTGTGCTGCATAGAACCATATCTAGTTTATCTTTCAGATTCAAAATATTGCATAAGTAACCAAAATGTAACTTTATAATATGACATCGAAAAATGCAAATGTTTTATTTAAATGTTTTTTCAAAAATAATTTCAGTATACTAGCACAATTTTAATGAAATTTATCAATGTTACCATGTTTAAAAAAATCGCATCACATCTCCAAAAGCAAAGTTGTTCAAGAGCTCTCTATTATAAAAAAGAATTTTGAAATGTTTAAATTTCACTTCTTGCTCAGAAACTCTAGTATCCCACCATTTATACTCGACAAAGGAACCAATTATAACCCATTCAAAAGATAACCATATCTGTCTGTGAATCACCAAAAATACTTTTTCAAAGTGCTAATTCACACTCAAAATGCGGGTCAATTTAATAAATATAAGCATGGTCACATTAAATATCTACAAATTTTTCATTTTCGGTACATGCAAATCTTTAATTTCTGTGCTTTCACTATATTTTTCGAGTAACAATTTACAATATACCCAAAATTTTTACATAAGAAATATGTATAAATATAAGTGGAATGAAAATTACATGCATTATTTTTAATTCCCACACAAAGTTCAGTTTTCTTCGAAATTCCTCCATGATTGCATTTCTTGCTTTAGATAAATGCCTTACGCTATTTAATAAAAACTCAAACTAATTACAAATATTTTAACATGCATAATTTCATACTTGCATTTAGCCATCAAGTTTCAAACTTTTGACTTTGAACATGTTTTAGGATACATTCATTATGAAATTCAAATCTAGCAGAGATATTTTGGCAGAGCATTCAATACCTCTTTCAGCAATTTTACAGATTAATAATTCCTAGATAATATAATAATTATCCATTTCACATTTGAATATTAACCGCATTGTCATCAGATTGCAATCTTGATTGCCCTACTCTGCATAATATTGCTTCATTCGCTAATGTATCAGTCTTATGTTCCACACTTTAGTGTAAAATTATGCATAACTTTACATAAATGTGTGGTTACAATTTATGGAAAATTTAACTTATTTGCATATCTGTGTGTATATTAATTTTGACGAGGATTGCAGCATTTGGTGGTAATTTTATTTTTAAAATAACCCAAATAAGTGAAACATGAAGACCAAAGTGATTATTTTTCAGTTATATAAAAATAAAATGAGTTTAAAATAGACAACTATAAAGCCTTTCCTCTAAAAATTAGTAAAAAGTAATGTTACAATAATGTATGGATGAAAAAATACCTTATTTAAAACATTTTGGCGTTTGGAACATAGCGACTACTATATGAAGGGTATCAAAAGACTTACACAATTTAAGATTCCTACTAAAATCTATTTTTGTAATTTAAACAGATTAGAATTTTATAAAACAAAATAAAAATCGCTCTTAGTTATCGAAAAATAATTACGATGTGTTTTTTTGTGCAAATGTCATTAAACTATACAAATTGCTATTATATTATCCATCTCACTTATACATTTACAAACCTCCATGTCTTCTACGAGATTCGAACCTCAGCAACCATAGTAGGCTCTCCTAACTGTACAGACCGAGCAACAAAAGATTTTTTTAAATCCGAAAAATCAGTTGAGGGCCTATTAAATCAATTCTCATTAACAAAATACAGTTTAATGAAATTTACCCTAATACCTAGATCACTATTTCAGCAATACTGGAGAAGCAACAATAGGAGGAAATAAGTTTTAATATAGAAAATATTTAGTGCTGACTGAAACACAAATATTAAATATAAATTATTCTTTAATAGCACAAACAAAATCAGTTACATTTATGACCAGATCAATTACTCTCACAACTTTTAAAGAATAAATATCAGCTACATACATACCAGCAGTCTTTGGAACAACATCAGCTCTCAACTATAAAAAAAAGTTGGATTAAGAAAATTTAAACAAAAATTATACATTTAGTTATGTAGCAAATTTAAAATGAACAAGACCAATATACAAACACAACAAAGATTACATTAAATATCTCCAAACTGGTATTGCCGTTTAATCTAATTATGGAGCTAGATATATATGCACTACGCCTCAGTTATAAGGCTGGAAGAGTTAACCTTCACCTTTTAAGCCTTCCTCGTTAATTCTGCTGTTACAATGGGATGTTGCTGGTGTAGATAACTCTTGATATCATTAGTGATATCTTCTAGATAGTGAAAAATTATTTGTTACTCTGCAATTAAGATTTTAAGAAAGAATTGATGCATCAAAAATAAATTAAGCCGAATATTCTCCTTTTCATTGTTTATACTTTCTTTTGTGTTAGAATTCTCTAGGGTATGGTCATTTTCGTAATGAAAACAGTTGCTCACAGTTCATGTTGGAGATAACAATGTTTGATATAACAAATATGATGCTTTTCAATGGATAATATACACAAGATATCTTACAGAATGGCAGAATTATTGTTTATAAACTATTCTAAGGATTAATTTAAGTGAATATTTTATTTAAGTACTTTAAATTACTTTTGTTATTCACCAGTTGATGATCATAAAATATTCTGAGGCTAAAAATTAATCTCCCAATATTTTAAATATTTTTGTAAGAAAATGCTAGCACAGCTTTAGTACTAGTCCTTTTTGGTGAGAAATTTTTTGGGCGACATTTTGTCACGATAAATGAAAGATTATAACTTAGTTATTTATGGTAACGCTAAATACGGAGCTGAAAAAGATGCCGCCATTTCTGTCCACGTAACTTTAACGAATTTGGTCAGAGCTTTGAGCGTGGCCTCGAGGAAACAAGGCCGTCCAGCTTATCGTGACGCACGTATGGAGTGCGAAGAAACCTTCCTTCTCCATGAAAGCGAGGATTCCACAGCACGCTATTTATTTAGTAAAAGCTAATTTTATGTTATTCCGATTTAAAGAAACAGGAAATTATTAAATAAGTGATATCTTAGATTTAATTAAATATCTGCTTTAAGACTTCAGGTTCTGAGCCATTCCCGTTAAATACGCCCTTTTTATAATCAAAATAAGATTTTACATGAATTCATCTATTAGTAAAACTACCTTTTTATCACTTTCATTTAAAAATCTGAATTTCTGTTTTGTGTACAATAAGAAATTATAATCATTTGTTCTTGTTAGATCAACATTGTGCTTTTAAATTAATATACGAATGGTATTGGATGTGGAAGTAAAATGTATCCACTTTGTCTCAAAATTTGTACAACTGAGGTGATATATAGAAACATATCTAGAGGCAAAAATTAGTATATCTGGATTATACCTTTCGAAGTTTGGAGAAGAATTGAAGATTTGTTCAATTATAAATTAATATATTTTTTTTCATTATCAATGCAGTTAATATCAGAGAGTGTATTTAATGCAGCAAGGAGTTTTAATCTATGACTTCATCTTCATTACTGTAGCATGTTTAATTCATTTAAGACTTCATTTAGATATTTATGTTAGTAATTTCATGGGAAATTTAATTTACCAATTTTTCAAAGAAGATTATTAGAACATGCTTGTACCAACATTTAATAATTAATGTTAATCGAATATTGTATTTGAGGTACAGGTTCAACTGCAATATTAAAAATGAAGACATAATTTTCAATTTTCAAAATGTTCCAAAAATCCAAAAGCCGTAGCATGCTTTTTTTTATTGCATAAATCATTCAAACAGAGCAGTTCTCTGTCTTCATCATACTTTTGTTTTCTGTGATGGTACTTTGAATAGCATCAGCAAGATTTTTCTTTTCTAGTTCTATCTTTTATGTTGCAGGATCTTTGCAGATTGTTTTCGAAGTAGTCAAATGTGATGGGCAATTAGGTAATCGTAATTGATCGCACTGCACTTTCACTAATCTCCGAACCTTCAAGCATACTGATATATCTTTCTCAGTTTTTTCATTGAAAGCCCTTGTCTCACGTATGATGTCAGCTGGCTAAAATAGAGTTCACATATCTACATATCCCAAAAATGAAACAACTGAGACACAATTAAGAAGTACAAAATTTTAACCATGTCATTATACAGTGAATTCTAATATTATTTCATTCAAACAGCTCTTTCAGGGGACACAATACTAAATAATATCGTCAAACTATCAAAATTTTTTTAGGCGTAAACTGGAACTTTTAAAATACATGGAAAATCTCAAAAGCACCTTCAATAGTTATTTTTGAAAAATTAAAAATAAGATTGCCTTTTTCTATTTTTTCCTAATCATGACAACAAATGTTTCATTAATCTTGTAACAGAAGCATACAGTATTCAAGCACAGTTTTGTTACATTTTCAAGAATACACAAACACACAAAAAAAAAAAAAAAAAAAAAAAAAAAAAAAAAAAAAAAAAAAAACCGCTATTTAAAGCAAAATATTAATATAAAAAACGTAATAACAAATTTATAAAAATGAATTTTTTAAAAATAGTCTATGTTTATAAACAACTGGGTTAACGATATTTTTTTATAATTTTTTTTAGATATGTTAATTACAATTTTCAGAATAAACTGAACATGTGACAAAAAAAAGAGTTTGAAAGGGGTAAGTGTTCCCTTAAAAATTATAAGCACACGAATTTGAATTTTTAAATTAAAATATTATTACTTTCATATTCAAAACTTACAAGACAAGTGGTTTTAAAATAAAAGTCGAGATAAATTAATATTACAAATGCTATTTAAGTCCAGATTTTGTAATTTCCCGATTATTGCTTTATATTAAGCACTGAATTTTCTACTGAATATTAATCTGCAGTATATGAAGTAAAATTTATTATACATTAAATAATATATAGTATTATGAACTTAATTACTCATTAAAATATTCACATGCAATTACAGGGGTGGACAAAAATATGGAAACACCTTAAAAAAAAATGTTTCTTGCTTAATATGGTGTAGGAAACCCGTGGCATCCAAAACAGCTGCAGTTCTCGGAATGGATTAAATACAGTTCCTGTATGTTTGCCAAAGGAATATTATACCATTCTTCCTGCAAAACGGTGGCAAGTTCAGAACGAGAACGCACTTTCCGTTCCAATGTAGACCACAAAGGTTCGATAATATTTAGGTCTGGTGACTGTGGTGGCCAGGGGAAGGGAAACTCATCCTCGTGCTCAGAAAACCAGTCCTGGACAAGTGAGCTGTGTGAAAGGGGCTTTGTCGTCTTGGAAGACACCATCACCATCGGGAACAAAGTTTGTACCATGGATAAACTTGATCGGCCAAAATGTTCACATAAGTCTTGGCAGTCATGTGCCCTGACACAGTTATATGGGGATAGCAGAGAACCATTATATGGCTGCCCAAACATAACAGAGCCCCGCCATGTTTCATCTTGGCAACAAGCAGTCTGTATTATAGGCTTGAGATGGCGTTCTCCAGACGTTAAACTCGGCCAGAAGTGGGAAACAATGTGAAAGAAGAATCGTCAGACCATATTACTCGCTTCCACTGCTCTATAGTCCAGGCTTTATGACTTAAACACCACCTTTCCTGTTACGGGCATTAGCATCACTGATGAGTGGTTCAATTGACATCACGGCCAGCAATTCCGTTATGAAGCTCCCTTCTAATTGTTTTGGTACTCACAGGGTTCGGTTAAACAAAACATTCATTCAGCAGTAACTTTTGAAGCTGTGGTCTTCTTATTTTTCGTCACAATTGCCCTTAATGATCGTCTGTCACGAGATAGGACACACTTTCGTCCGCGCTGTGATTTAGCAGATTTTTCCGCTTTTCAAATATGCAGAATAAATCTCGTACAGTACCTCTGAAACACTAAAACACCTCGGCTACCTTGCTTACGAAAGCACCTACCATAAGTGCTCCAACAATTTCCCCGTTCGAAGTCTGTAACTCTACATAATGCATGACAACCTCACTTAACAGTACTCCAAACAACTGAACTGTTTAGCAATTACGAGTGTATAGGTGGCGTCGTATCAAAAAACGCCAGCGCCACCTACATATTTCAGTAAAATCAATCTTTCTTTTCAAAATGCATTTCACAAGGTGTTTCCATATTTTTGTCCAAACTACTGTATGAACAACATGCATTATTAAAAAATTAAGAATTAACTTTAAGACAAATTGCAGGAAACAAAAGCTTATTATACTGCTTATTTTACATGGCAAGGATTATTGTATACTTTCTATTTACATATTATTGTTTATTTATTTAACATAGTTTTCATTGGAAATGATTTGGGTTAAAAAACAGAATATTAAACATAGTAATATTGATTTACTTAATTTTTCTTTGAATATCAATGAAATCTAAAATAAAAGCTCACCCTGCTATTTTTAGTTGGATGAAGTCCTTTCGCTATTGCACAGTCACTTTCAGATCGGCATCATTAGGAAAACGAAATGTGCACTTTAGGTCCAGATTTGTAATTGCCGTTACATCGCGGCACTGAGCACATGTAAGGCATTATATTGTTAGACCTTAAATTTAATATATCCAGCAGCAGAAAAATCCCGATATATCTCAAGATTTTAGGTCAAGAATTTCAGTTCAACCTCTTCTTTCGAAACAATGGCGACTGACAACCTTTGACCCAGCGTTGCCCTCACCCCAAGAAGGAATGCATTCTGAACCCCAAGAAGGGATGCGCTCTCTGGAATGACGTTACACGCTCAACGTCACGTAGCGGTAGGGTCTTGTTTCTCGAAGGCCACGTTGATGGAGGCAGGGTAAATTCATATTTTTCTTAGTTACTTTCATGTCAGTAAAGCACAACATTTAAAATATTTTTAAAAGAGCCAAAAATTTGATAGTTAAAAATGAATGTGAAATTTCACATGAAAGACTCGTGTGTAATATTAAAGCATCAATTTTAATATTACATCACATGTTTTTTGACATTTTTTTAAATGTCAACTCTATGCA